AATTCAGTAATACTATTATTCGGTATTTTGTGTATAATTATATTGTACTAATGGTTGTGTATAATTATATTGTACTAATGGCCAATAACCAGTACTCCCTCCTATTTTTTTTTTAAATGTCATTCTAGCTTTATCAACTATTTGCTAAATAAATGTCGTTTTAGATTTTTTGTACATATTTTTCCATTATTACTCTCATTTAGCTAAAAAATACATCACGTCTTTTCATAATCACTCTTCATCTTTTTTCTCAAAACATTCATCTCTATCTTCATTAAATAAAGTTATTATTGACAAAAAAAATATTCATAATAGATGTGCAATATCCCAAAACGACATCTATTTAAAATAGGAGGTAGTATTATTTATCAGTAAGGTACTATATTTTAAACATGTATATACAGTATACAGAGTTGAGATTAATTAATAATTAACCCTGAAATCATATAATATTGAACATGAATAATAGTAATTTATACTCCAACTGAATAATAAACTAATGCAAGGAATTAAAATTTTGCTTTACCTCACTACCACAAAAAGTTACTCAACTTCAATATTGAGAAAACTCACATGTCCTTGGCACGAACCCCACAAAAAATTTATAACCCCCCACATTAAACAAAACTCACATGACCCCCAAGACGGTACACCAGTGAAACTTATCAAAATATCACACACATAAGTAGAAATATTCCTTCAATAAATAAACAAATAAATAAATGGATTTTATATAAATGAAAGCAACAATAAATAAAATATTGATATAATGCATAGTATTTTACTACAATCCATTTATATTATTTGGAGTCAACTATCCATATGGGTGATGGGCACATGAAATTTTATAGTTATAAAAGAATTTTATAGATAGGGAAACTGCATGGTGTGACTGACTCTACCCATGTTCCCCTGCTCCCTCACTTGCCATCATTTATACCTTTGCTTTTCATCTACTTCACACTCACTCTCTCCAACCTTTCCATCTCATAACTTGCACCTTTCACTCAACACCTCACTAAGTTATTCAATCCTAGGGCTAGACTAGTAAGGAACATGGATGTTTACGGTGGACTATCTGTAGATGATCTGTTAGACTTACCTAGCGACGATTTCTTCTCTCCATCTTCCTCCACTGCCGCCGCCGGCGGCGGAGGCGGCGCCACCGTCTCAGACTACCTGCTGCAGAATCCGTCATCATCCGCCGGCAATTGCTTCGAACAGTCACCCACTCCTAGCTTCTCTAACGATTTCAACGACATTTTGTGCTTACCGGTAAGATCTATTGTGCTAAAACGAATTAAATTTGATACAAATAATAGTACATATATAACTACTGCATACCTTTGATCGATGGATCTGACTTTCGGTTATGGTGTTTATGATTTCCCTAGCCGACGGAGGATGCGGCAGATCTGGAATGGCTCTCGAGCTACATGGACGACTCGTACTCCGATTTCCCTGCGGACGAGCTCCCCGCCGCCGCCGAAGGACTCCACTGGCGGCCTCGGAGCAAGCGCTCCCGTCCTTTCGCCTCGGCCTCCGCCGCGGTCGGAAATCCGATGTCGATCTGCGGCGGCGTCGTGAGGAGGGAAGGGAATATCACGGGGGCGGAGGGTGGTGGGGAAGTGGCGCGGAGATGCACGCACTGCGCGTCGGAGAAGACGCCTCAGTGGAGGACAGGGCCGCTGGGCCCGAAGACGCTGTGCAACGCATGCGGGGTGAGGTTCAAGTCGGGCCGGCTGGTGCCGGAGTACAGGCCCGCGGCTAGCCCGACGTTCGTGCTGACTCAGCACTCCAACTCTCATCGGAAGGTTCTCGAGCTGCGGCGGCAGAAGGAGATGCTCCGCCAGCAGCAGCAGCAGGATGCGGCGGCGGCGGCTTACGGCTTTCGGGTGTGCTGAGATGTCGACTCCCTTGCGTTGCTTATATATCACGTGTTAACAGTTAAATCACAACATATTGTCCTTCCAATGAGACGTTTTGCCCTTCGTTTATTGTGATTTGTTTTCAATGCGTTTTCCTTAATCGCAAAAGAGTATTGTATATTTTATTTTATTTTTTTTTTATGTTTTTGCCTAATTAATTTTATCAAGATTCTAGTTTTCATGATTCCTGTTTTGTAATAGACGACCAGTGTTAAATTTAAACGTTTAATCAATGTAAAAATAAATAAATAAATAAATAAAAACTTTGATCTACAATAAAATATCTCTGTACCGACGGTGGCTAAAATTATAGGAGCGGTGTTTGACTCAAGGAAATAAATAGCTCGCCGCTAAAGTTGCCGCTATTTGAGAAATAGCTTTTTTTAGCAGCGTGCTGCTATTTGTATTCATGTGCAATTTAGCCGTTAAATCTTGCTAAATCTCCGCTATAGCTACAGTGCCATAAACATTTTAGTCCGCTATTTAAAACCTTAGTTTGACTAGTAGACACAACTATATACTGGGCCGACTTGATAAAAAGGTAAAACTTGAAGGATGGGTTTTTGAATCAATTGGCTGCTAAATTCACAATTTAGTTAATAGGCAAAATCTTGAAGGATGAGTCTGATTATGTCGATAATTTGGCTGTAAAACTCACAATAAAGAGACATCGAAATAATAAATTCAGACAAGTATAAAACCATGAAAATTGCACATCTTTGTCAGATCAAATAAATGTGGACTGACGATCATTTACTCGAGCCATATAAAAGTTGCATGGTGTCGTACTGTAAATGTGGTTGGCTAACTCGTCTGCACATCAGTAAATAAAAGCCGTTTTCACAGTAACTTTATTTTACAGCTCTGCCTCACACGTCTGAATAGTATTGGGCTTGCTTGGGATTCCGGAAGAGGCCATTATCGAGTTTATTTTGGATTTTTTGCGGTCCACTAATAAAATGGCTGGCCTGTTGTATGAAAATTGTTGGGTGTGCAAGCTCAGTGGACTACTGCTTCTATTAGTAATTGGTTTAAAAATGGAACTAATTTGAACTTGTATATTGAGTTTGATGGAGAGCTGTACTTAAGTTGTTGACCAAGCAATTGGTATCAAAGTCACGACTGGTAGCCCAATTGCGATGTGGATGATGTGGCATGTTTCCCGTGGGAGCAGTGGATCTGTGTGGATGACGTGACATGTTCCCCGTGGAGCCGAAGGGCTGGTGGATCCGTGTGCATTGCGATTGGGCTGGTGGATCCGTGTGCGTGTACGGTTGGTAGCCCAGTTGCGATGTGGATAACGTATCGTGTAAAAGCAAGATTACACATCAGCCTCCTTGAATTGTGTTCTCTCTCCTTGCTCCATGGTCATTAATGGTCATTATACTACATGATGAATAGTAATTTGTATTACACAAGATGAATACTACCAAATGTACTACACTATAAAAAGCAAAGGGAATCGGAAAAAAGAGAGAAGAATAATTGTATTCTAAAAATAACAAGAGAAACATTTGTCAATTATCTTTTTTTTTCTTGCCTTTTATGCAATTTAATTTATGTATTTCCGTTGTTATAATTTCACATAACAGGTGTTATTCAAGCCAAACAAACAATGAAACAACTCAAACCTGAGCTCGTGAGCAAAAGTTCGGGTCATTTGATAAAACTAAAACGTTAAACAAAAAAAAAAATAATTAAAAAAAATGCACCAAATGGCTTGATCAATTTGTTTAATAAATTATACTGATTATTTCTTTTTTTTTTTTGGAAAAATATAAACAAATCAATGCGGCGGTACTTGTCAAAGTTTGTGTTGTTATATAAAACTTAACAACAAATTTAACAACGATAATCACCTGTATTAAGCATATTGAAAGTTGTAAAATAGCTAGATTTTACATAGATTTTTATAATTTGAAATAGTGTTCTAAAAGTCACTAGGCGCCTAGCAGTCGGAGCCTAGAAATCAATATTAAATATCTTATTTTTTTATCTATTTTAACTATCTACAAAATAAAATTATCTCAACTTATAATAAATCACACCTAAGTCCAAATAATAAAATTAATATATTTTAAAGAAAACATGAGAACAAAATAATGTAATTAGTGTTTAAACAAAAAAGAATTAAAAAATTGCCGCCGAGTCGCCTAGTGGCCGCGCGTCGCAACGCGGCAAAATTAAAATTTATATTTCCTTAACCGACTTCTACCAACTAGTAGTAGTAGTGAGTAAGGGTCGATCCCACAGGGAGTGTGAATCGAATCGTGAATTTTCTCGTATTAATTGAATTTATAAAAGCAGTAAATGGGGGGATTGGGTATTGATAATTAAACTAACTAAAAATACTAAAAATATAAAGAAAGGAAATAAAAATAAATATAAAATAAATAAGAGAAATTTCTAGTTCACGGTTTCGTCTACACCCTCGACTGACTCGTCTAATCAATTCTGGTATCAAATCTCGCTATCTATGGAATTACTAGCCCTAGGCAACGACACGGTCTGTTACCCGAATTTTTCCTTATTTTTAATCTAACCGCGAGACGCTCTACGATTAAATCTGACCTCTTGAACAGTCTAGGAAACGCTTCCTAAATTTAATTCAATTAGCCGCTTTACGAAATAGAAAAATAGGCTAGACTAAGTAGTGACGCGTTCGTTCACTTAAATAGGCCGTGTTATCCCCGGTAGTTACCATCTTCCGGATACCACTTGCGAATTAAACACATCAACAATTACGGATTGAAGGCCTAATTCAGGTGTAGATATGTAAAGCCTAATCTAGGTGATCAAACTAAACAAGACTAAACACATCATGGTTAATTATTCAAAATAACACAAACAATTCCAAAAAGATAACTCCATAATCAACCATGTAAATCAATCAAACATCATCAAGTACGTAGGGTTCGACATCCCCGGAACTAGAAATAAAACTAGCCCAACATAATAAATAAAAATAAATGAAAGAGAAAGAGAATAGAATTATCCTCTTTCGTGTGCGGGTGCGGTCTCCCTCCGCGATTGATCGGGCTACTCGTCTTTCTTCTCTCTGTTCGCGAATCCTTTTCTTTCCTCTGCTCTTACGGCTGCGGCTTTTTCTCTGTTCGTGAATGATAGGGGCTGCCTTTTTTATTTCCTCTGTTGCGGCGTGGTCTTTTTCTTTTTGCGTGAATCCCCAATTAATTTCCATTAAATTGGGCTCATTAGCCCACCAAATCTTCCATGTCTCCAAAACGGACGTGATTAACCCAAATGTCATGTAATGACTAATGACCAATTATTTGTAACATTCAGCAACAATTGATGGGCCCTCTCCCAATTCATATGCATTTTTATTTTTTTCTGTGCCGTTTGGGCGCCTAAGTTAGGCTGATAATTGGGTACGATCTACTCACCCACGAAAATACTCCAATATCCTAAAAATAAACCACAAAAATATCAAAGTACAAAAATTCATCTAACAAATAAATAATCTTAAAAATATATAAGTGCGATAAAATCAAATATATAAAAATACGCTAATAAATATATAAAATACACACTTTTTCCGACCAATCAAATCTCCCCAAACTTAAATCGTTGCTTGTCCCCAAGCAACTTAGAACTATAAGCAAATAGATGGATAAGAAAACAAGTACGTGGAATATTTGCTCAAACCTCACACTTCTCACATAAGTGCATAGTTCAAACAACTCAAATCAATTTATCTGGACTCAAGACAAATTTATTCTAAGAACGCAAACACATAAAGTATCAATTCAAATGACCATCATAGTTTATCAATCTTTATAACGAATGCACCGATCAATGCAACTCATGACACCCCTCTCTTTGCTAACAAGTCCAGTTTCTATCCGTTTCTAGCCAAAGTCTAAATGTCTCATTCTCCAAACTCTTTTTTTTTCTCTTTTTTTTTTTATTTTTTTTCATTTTTTTTAGAGTAGGGAACGGCAGCTCCGTCACAACCCGCGGGTTTTAGCATTTCGTGCTCGTATAGATAAGGAAATTATTGGATTTGTACACTAGAGCCCCCACGGATTGGCAGCTGTTGCAGCCCAAGACTCCATTTTTTTTTTTCTTTCTTTTTTTTCTTTTTTTGCCAAAGGCTTTCAACTCCACCAATTATTCCTCCATCCTCATTATTCTTTTTTTTTTTTTTCGACTATGAGACATAGAAACCCCAACTTTCAACTTCAAGTCCCCAAACTTAATCAACATTGATTAAAGCAATCACAAGCACACCTCAACAATACAAATCGTCTCAAAACCAACTCACCACAATAAGTCACAAAAATATCAACCATCATGCCTTTGTCCCCAAAATAAAAACACCTTAAGAATTTAACCAAATAAAATTAACTCAACCCATTTAAACTAGCACAATAAATCCAAACTAGCTCTCATATCATCATCGCAAAATTCCACGTAAATGCAATCTCACGCACACACAAGACTAACATATATCATGCAATTAATCTAAGACTCAAACTCTAAGGGGCAAAAATATAATCACATAATAAACATGAATGCTCACCAAGAAACCACCTCCCCAAACTTAGAGTTTGCATCTATCATCGACACCAATAAATACAAAAGAGCAAAAATAGAGGTAAAAGAAACGAGTTCACCTTAGTCAATGCGGAAGAAGTCACCGAACCATGCACACCATTGGGTTGCCTCCCAACAAGCGCCTCTTTTTATTGTCGTTGGCCCGACTTATTACTTTCTTTTCATCAAAGGGTCCATGGTGGCTTCCGAGGTGGCCTCAAGGGAGCCACAAATCTCACCACTCCATGCCTTACCACATCTCCTCTTTCCGGTGTTGGGTGTTTCACCGGATCTTTCCTCCATGATGCTAATTGCTCAAGGATATGTAGCAGCCCGCACTCAATCACGGTCAACGTATCATCAAATTCCCATTTGCACCTTTCTTTCTGTTTGATCGTCTCAAGAGAAGGCATATCAAG